CTTCCTTCCTTCCTTCCTTCCTTCCTTCCTTTCTTTCTTTCTTTCCAGTGTGTCTCTGTGGGTTAGAGCTGCCCAAAATGTAGAGATTACAAATGATAGTTAAGCGTTTTGTTAAAAATGTTGGTTAGGGAAAGCGGTTGCGATTTAACCCAAGAATATTGCAGGTGTCTCCCATCTTCAAGCCCCAGTCAAAGGCCATCATAAGTCTTAATGTCAAAATGATTTTGGCTTCTTCCTGATTATTTGTATTTGTCTGCTTTTATATGTTCGCTTTTGCTAACAGTTGGAAATTAATCTGACTCGGAAAGAGGAGAAACTGCTGGAAAAGGAGTTTATTTATGAGCAAGTTTCCCGAATGATGGAGAAAATCAGCGTCAAAGCAGAAAACGGCAAGGAGGAAACCTTAATCCTGGCTAAAAAGGTAGGATGATCACGATTTGGTTTGATGATGCCAGCTATCACTACAGGCGGTCCTCGACCTACGACCACAATGGAGCCCAAAATTTATGTGAGGCATTGGTTGAGTGAGATTTGCCCCATTTTACAACCTGTCTTGCCAGCGTGGTTAAGCGAATCACTGTCGTTCTTAAAAGCAGTACCACGGATGTGTAGTGAATCTGGTTTTCTCCGTTGACTTTGCTGATCGGAAGGTCGCAAAAAGGGGATCGTGTGATCCTGCAACACCACAGTTGTCATAAATACAGGTTGCCCTCGACCTTACGACCGCAATTGAACCCCAAAATTCTGTTGTTAAGTGAGACATAGGGGAGGATCAGCACAAACACAGGGGAGGATCGAATGTTGACCAGCAGTGGTGTCGATAGGCAGCTGATCTCCTGACAAGGAACAGCTGCCTCCTTCACTCGATCCAAGGACACAGAGAGCAGAGAGGAGGCAAGCTCAAAGAAGGTCTGCGAGGCTACTCGGGAGGAGGTCGCCCCACCCCCTCCTCACAAGGAACACCTGGAGGGGAGAAACTTAAGGAATTAAGTCTTTGCCAGGAAGAATTTTTTGCTTTGGCTTACACACACACACACACACACACACACGGCTTCTAGTCGTGCCTGTTGCCATTGGCCTTGCCTCGCTTGGAAGATTGCTCTTCGCCTTTTGATTTGGACTGAGCCCTTCTCTGCGTTTGGCCTCTGCTTCCCTGGAGCTTTGGAACGGCTGGCACACCATTTTTGGCACAGGAGGCCAAAAAAGTTAGCCACCACTGCTCTAGGCCCCTGCCTTGCCTTGACCCCTTGGGTCATAATAGGATGCTCCATCAACAGGTGGTTTTCAAAAAACAGATAACCATTTCATCTTCTTTTAATGACTCCATAATCCTTCTACCTGGAGGTAGAATCTGGGCAACTGAATGGAGTCTTTACTGGCCGGATGCCCTTTCTGTCTCCAATGTGGAGTTTTTCCCCCCAGCAGGTATGTTCTCATTGTGCCCAGAGAGAGAAATCAGAGCCTCCTGATTGTGACAGGGATGATATAAGGTCTCCAGCCTTGAGCACCGGAGGGGGGCAGGGGGAGGGCTGGACTAGAAGACCACTGAGGTTCCTTCCAGCCCGTATGATTCCACGTTCTTTGTTGCTGTGATTCCTTCCAGATGAACACGCTGCAAGAGAAAATAAAGAGCACCACTCAGAAGATCATGGCTCTCATTGCGGAGCTGTCCATGCAGCAGGCCTTCGCCATTAAGCTGCAGCAAGAGATGCGGGACAAAGAGCAGACCATCCTGTGCATTGTCTCCCGACTGGAGAAAGGGCTTCCTCCTCCGAGAGAAATCGAGCAGGACTGGCTCAGGGTGCTGCGGGATGAAAAAATGCACGCGATCGCAAGCGAAGCCAAAGCGAAAGTGAGTCTCTCAACAATTGGAACAGAACAGAATAGAATGGAATGGAATAGAAAATATGGAATAGAATAGAATAGAATAGAATAGAATGGAATGGAATGGAATGGA